CGCAGGGGCAGAGAGAGAGGCGCTGCGGTTTCATACAGGTTGGTTTATCGTACAGTATCTGCGCTGGCACCGCATGGCTGAGATGCAGCGACGTGGCCAAGAACAGACGTGGGGGCCCAGCGAGGGGGGGGGCAAGGTCTGGGTCTCTCACCCCCCCAGTGCTGCCCTTGGGCTCTACCCCGAGGGGTCTTGTGCAGGGGGTGCCGGATCCTTGCCCCCATTACGCACCCCACTGCCCAGCCATGGCTCCGGGGGCTCCAGCTTCACCCTCGTGCCGAGGGACCGGGGGGGGGGGCCAAAAGGGGGGTGTCCGGAGCCCCACCCTGAGCTACAGGCGTCTCCACGGGGGCGTCAGCTCTCGGCCCCTCCCAGCCCTGGACGGACGGACGCTCCTGGGCTGCCCAGGCCTCTCCCTGCTGGGGGGCCCCTGCGCTGGTCTGTTCAGTGGGACAGGGCCTGGATCCCCCAATCGGGCCCCTCGCCTGGGCGTCATCGAGTCCCTGGGGGGGCTGCTTTGCCCCCAGGGCCTGTCCCGCCCGGCTGGGCATTGGGGGGGGGGGGGTTCGGCCTAGAGACGTGTCCAGTGCGTTGCTAACAGAGGCTCCGGGGGGGGTATCATAGCACCATGGGGGGTCAGTCCGTGCCCTGCTCCCCCTTCAGGCCACAGAGAGGTGCCCGCCCGCCTGCCCCACAGCACCGGCCCTAATAGGGCTGGACGTCCCGCGGGGTCCCTGGGCTCGGGCTGGGGGCTGGTGGGGCCAGCGGCAGGGTCCTGAGTGCGCCCTGGAGACAGTGAGGAGGGGGTGCCCGTGGGGGGGCAGTGTGGCCCTGGGAGCTGCCCCCCCCGGCAGTCCGGAGCAGGTCCCCAGAGATCTCTGCCTGGTGGGGGGCAGCCTGGCCCCGGGAGCGTCCTTCGGGGGCTCCGTCCGGCGCCCTCAGCCCATGAAGCAGACGGGTCCCAGCTCGAAGCCAAATTTCTGGTTGGCGGCTCCGAAGTCCGGCACGGCCACGTCGGACAGGGGCAGCGGCTCCGGGCGGGACGATCTCACCTCCAGCACCGTGCGCGCCTGGCCCTGGCGCAGCTGCGGAGACACGGCCAGCGTCAGGGCTGGGGAGGGGCCAGCAGCCCGGGGGAGGGGCCAGCAGCCCAGGGGGAGTGGCAGCCTTGCCCGGGGGAGGGGCAGCAGCCCGGGGGAGGGCAGAGAGGGGAGGAGCCAGCAGCCCAGGGGAGGGGCCAGCAGCCCGGGGAGGGGCCAGCAGCCCAGGGGGAGGGGCAGCCTTGCCCGGGGGGAGGGGCCAGCAGCCCATCTCTGGGGTGGGCCCAGGGGGCCCAGGCTGGAGCGGCTCCCCCAAGGGAACGGTATGGCCAGGTGCCCGGCCCGGTCACTAGGTCCCGATCCCAGGGCTGTGGGGCAGGAGCAGTGGGAGCAGGTGTGGCGGGGCTGTGGGGCAGGCAGGGGGTGGGAGATGTGGGGCAGGGACAGCAGGGGGCGGGGCCGGCTCACCTGGCAGCCGTCGTGCAGGGCGCGGATGGGGGCCGCGGGGTGGTCGTGCCCCAGCTCCTGGCCGTCGGCCCCCCGGAAGCGCAGGGCCTGGGCGTAGCTGGCGGCCCCGGCGTGGAACCAGGCGGCCGAGTCCTGGCAGCTGAGCGTGAAGTTCTGGCGGGCGCCGGCACTCAGCAGCCGCAGGAAGGTCAGTTGGGTCACGCCCAGCGGGTTCCCGTCCGCGTCCACGTAGGAGAACTGGGGGGGGGCAGAACCGGGCACATGGCCTTAGCCAGGGACCCCCCAGCTCCCCCCACCCCGACCCGCCAACCCCCCTAGTGCCCTGCGACCCCCCTGAACCCCACCCGATACGCCAGGCCCAGCCCCCCGGCCCCGGCCCCGGCCCTGGCCCCGGCCTACCTTCCTGCCCCTCCTGAAGCTGCTGAACCAGCTCCCCGGCTTCTCCTTGCTCCAGGCAGCCAGTCGCACCTGGGGGCGAGAGGGGACGGAGCTCTGCCGGTGCCCCTCACTCCCGACCCGCAGCCCCTGCTAGCCCAGCCCTGCCCCCCCAGCTCTGCCGGTGCCCCTCACTCCCGACCCGCAGCCCCTGCTAGCCCAGCCCTGCCCCCCCAGCTCTGCCAGTGCCCCTCATTCCCGACCCGCAGCCCCTGCCAGCCCAGCCCCGCCACTCTGCCGGTGCCCCTCACTCCTGACCCATAGCCCCTGCTAGCCCAGCCCTGCCCCCCCCCAGCACTGCAGGTGGCCCTCACTCCTGACCCGCAGCCCCTGTGTGACGAGACAAAGTGGGACTGTTCTTAATGTTTTCTCTGTGTGAGTGCCTCAGTTTCCCCTATGCAGTTCTTAAGTCTCTAGGTGGTGGGATAAGGGTGTATAATTGCTGCAGAGCAAAGGGCCAGGGTACATAAATGCCCGACACTCTGTCTCCTAGCAACTGATGGCCTGGGCCCCTCCTCGGCAAAGGTGCCAACTGAAGGTGTTGGAGACAAAGAGATCAGGTGACCTCCTGGCCCGGAAAGAGACAAAGCCCAGAGGAGGAGGGGCTGGAGGGGAAGTCAGTTTGGAGCTAACTGGGGACAAGGAGTGAAGTGCAGACGTGGGTGTCTGGCTCGCTGCCCCCCAGAATGGACCCGGCTGAGGGGTCCTGTTCTCTGGACCTACAAGCTCTGTTTTAGACCGTGTTCCTGTCATCTACTAAACCTCTGTTTTACTGGCTGGCTGAGAGTCACGTCTGACTGCGAAGTGGGGGTGCAGAACCCTCTGGCTTCCCCAGGACCCCGCCGGGGCGGACTCGCTGTGGGAAGCGCACGGAGGGGCATATGCTGAATGCTCCAAGGTCAGACCCAGGAAGGTGAAGCCGTGTGAGCTTCTTGCCCTGAAGACAGTCTGCTCAAAGAAAGGAGACTTCCCCAGAGTCCTGCCTGGCTTTGTGGGGAGCAGTTCCAGAGCATCGTCCGGGGACTCTGTAAAAACCCTGATCGCCCAGCGCTGGGCTCCCCCCAGCTCCGCCGGTGCCCCTCACTCCCGACCCACAACCCCTGCTAGCCCAGCCCTGCCCCCCCACTCACACTCTGGAATCTCTTGTCTGGGAACAGGCAGGTCTCGCCGCCCGCTGTGAAGTTGCAGAAAACCTTGAAGGCGTCTCGGGCGCAGCCCTGGTTGGGGTCGATCCAGTACTCGCCTGGGGGAGGGGAGAGGTTGGGGGGCAGCCACAGGGGCCTTCCCCAGGTTGGTCCCTCTGAACGCTCGGCCTGCCCCCCCCCGAGGGGTACCCCCGTCTCACCCTCTGGCGTGGGCATGGCACAGATGTGCCCACAGACCCCCCATTCCCCAGCACCCGCACCAGACAGCAGGATCTTGGGCCCCCTCCCCAGACTCCGGGGTCCCCGCGCCCCCAGGGTCCCGCGGGGGCTCACCGTCGGGGAAGTGGGGGTGACACAGCTGCAGCTCCTTGCAGACGTGGGCTGGGCTCTCAGGGGTCCCCAGGGGGCGTCTCAGCTGCTCGACCTCGGTGCGCAGGGAGCTGAGCGAGGCGAACACCTCCTCCAGCCCCTCGGGCACGGAGTCGGGGGGCCCCGCCTGGTCCCCCTGCTCCCCCTCTGCCTCTCGGCGCCTCTTCCGGACCCCCTCCACGGGCAGCGGCTCCCGCAGCTCCGCCGGGCGGCCCTGGGCCGAGACGCGGGTGTGAGAGGCCCAGGCAGCACCCTGGGGGCCACTGGGACGGGACCCCAGCCAGGGAGCATTGCCCCCAACTCCACCCCCATGCCCTGGCTTGGGGGCCTCTGCCCCCTGCTGCCCCTGAGCCCCCGCTGCCCCCAGTGCCCCCCCCAGCCCCACTGGCCCCTCCGCTGCCCCCCCAGCCCCTGCTTCCCCTCAGCCCCCACTGGCCCCCCTGCTTCTCCCCCAGCGGTCCCCTTGCTGCCCCTGCTGCCCCTCCAGCCACTGCTGCTCCCTGCTTCCCCCCCAGCCCTCGCTTCTCCCTGCTGCCTCCCAGCCCCCTGCTGCCCCCCAGCACTCACCGGTGGCCCTGGGAGTCCAGGGGGTCCTGTGTCTCCTCTGGGGCCCAGGGCTCCCTGCAGAGGAAGGGTCAGAGCCCAGCCAGAAACTCCTGCCGCCCCTCCCCTCCCCCACAGCCTCCCCATTGCCCCCTACAGCCCCTCCCCTCCCCTCCCCAACAGCCTCCCCATCGCCCCCTGCTGCCCCTCCTCTCCCCATCGCCCCACTGCCGCCCCTCCCCTCCCCCACAGCCTCCCCATCGCCCCCT